CTACAGTCTCTCCGGGAGTACAGTGCCCCTGGAATCGACATGATCTGCCCAAAAGTACTAAAAACCCTTGCTCCCACCATAGCAGCACCACTTGCAACCTTTTTCCAGTGTCTGCTTAACTCCCATACACTCCCATCTGAGTGGAAAAATGGAATTATCACTCCAATATATAAAGGAGGTAAGCGCTCGGATCCTGCTAACTACCGACCTATTACTCTCCTTCCTGTTTTATCAAAAGTTATGGAATCGGTAATCGCAGATGAACTGACGCGATACTTTGAAAGTCAACAGATAATTTCTAATGCCCAACATGGTTTCCGACGCAGACGATCTTGTCTCACCAATTTGCTGATTACTCGGGACTTATGGACCAGGGCGGCTGATGAAGGAGTGCCCATAGATGTGATATACCTGGATTTTTCTAAAGCATTCGACAGGGTCAATCACTTCTTTCTCCTCCAAAAGCTTGCTGCCTACGGTATCAACGGTTCCCTGCTCACCTGGTTGGAAGACTACTTACACGACAGAGCAATCAAGGTAAGAGTAGCCGACACCTATTCTGAAAGCCTTTACGTCTCCAGTGGTGTACCACAAGGATCCGTCCTCGGCCCGCTACTGTTTTTAGTCTACATTAATGACCTTCCAGCAGACATTCTATCTCCAATGCAAATATTTGCAGACGATGCTAAAATATGGAGAGCAATTCGCTCAGCATCCGACCGTGTCTACCTCCAGGAAGATCTGACCCGGATTAACGAATGGGCAGAAAAGAACCAGCTCCCACTGAACCCTGCAAAGTGCCACCTGCTGACGGTGCACAACAGCTTCGTCAACACATACCTTTTGGGGCAACACGTCATGCAACACGTGACTAGTGAACGCGACTTAGGTATAATCGTGCAAGAGAGTCTTGGAAATTCGCTCCAATGTTCGAAAGCAGCAAGTGTGGCGAACTTGAACTTGAGACTTTTGAGGCGAGCTCTCGGCACTTTTGAGCGACGGCTAGTACCATTGTTGATTAACTCCTACATTCGTCCTCATGTTGAATATGCAATTCAGGCCTGGTGTCCATGGTTAAAACGAGACATCCGCCTCTTGGAACAGCCCCAAAGAAGAGCCACAAAGGCAACGCGTGGACTATCCGGTATAAGTTACGAAATGCGTCTTCGTGTACTCGGTGTGTTCTCATTAGAATACCGACGGCTTCGCGGAGATCTTACTCTCACATACCGGATACTAACCGAAAGCGAGCATCCATGTACATCACTGTTGACTCTAGCCCCATACAAACAAAACCGAGGCAACCACCTGAAACTAATGACGCAACACTCTCGTTTGAATTGTAGAAAGTATTTTTTCTCACTTAGAATCTGTTCTCACTGGAATGCATTACCAAACTATGTGGTGAACGCACCAGACATGACGACATTCGAAAGACTCTTAGATTTTCATCTTAGTGATAAACGATACACAACACTTTGTTAAAGTGCAATGATTTAACCACTGATACTTTACGTTCCACGTTGGAACATTTTGATTTTAATTTTCTTTTGCATATCCATCCTGTGGGTCTTGTAAAGTTATGCTTTTTATCCCATCATATCAACCCATTGAAACCATTTGATACCGTCTCCCTTCAACGTTGCAAGGAACAAGTAGTACTATAGCGCAGATTAAAGGCCAGGTACAAAATAAAACTATTTTGTTCAAAGCTCATTTCTCGCGCACGTTGTAGTGGAATCTAGGCTCACCTTGTACAAAACATGCGCTGACAGGCCTATCTTTAAAAAACTATTCCAATCTGATATGCAAAGGCATTAAAAATAAGAATGTAAAGCGGGCTCCATATAGCTCAAACAGTTATTCCTCTTACATAGGGAAATGCCTCACACTGAGCACAAAAGCTATTTCGCTATCGGGATGGCTCTGTCCGTTATTCACTAGTATCTAGATCACAGGATCCAATATCCTGAATATCATCGACCGGCTGCAAACGGTGCAGAGAGGAAGCTGCATGCCCAACGCCACTGGGACGAAACGGTACACAGACCTTCATTCAGCCTTATGAAGCCCTACGTAGAAGCTGGCACTTTCTCGCTGACCCCACTTCTTACCCATACGACTGTGGAGTTTTGTTGGCTACGCGTCGCCTTCGCTCCCATTCGCGCTTACATTCTCACCTCACCCTTCAAGCGCGTCGGTACTCTTCGGTGTTCATGTGGCCGACACACCTGTCGTAGTAGGCGGAACCAGGTGCCTCAGTTTCATACACAAAATCCCCTATGGGGGGGGGGGGCCCTGCCATCTTTCGCAATAATTCGGGCAATATTTCTTGGCCACGTCTAGGCTCACGTTAAAGGCGCTCATGTAACGGGGTAGTCCTTCGCAGCCAATTGAACGGTCGATTCGTGTTAAGTCGACTCGCTTCTATGGATCCAAATTCGGACTGCTAGCGTTTTTTTGGGCTCGAGGAAAATCGGTCGCTCATGTTCGCCTGCCTTCCGCCGGTTTCTAGCGACCTGCTGCACCTCAATAATTATTAGTAGTAAGCCACCTCGAAACTGCCCGATAGCTATTATGACCCACGGAGCGCACGACCGGAGTTGCTCAATCCTCCCTCTGACTGGCCTATAAGTAGCTCTGCGGTCGTAGTGGGTAAACTAAACATCGTTTCATCGCCCCCCGTCTACTGCAACAAATCGCTTCAACCGCCACGTTAGTTAGCCTACACGTTCGGAGCCTCTGCATATCGGAACCGGGTGACCCTCGCAGCATCCTTAGCCCCAGTGCGACTGGTGGTGGGTTGAGCGGCAGCGATAGCGTCGGTACCGTCGTTCACAGCGCACTCCTGACTTCGTTCTTACATCGCAGAATGCACCCATCGAGCTGATATAAAACCGTGGTTGCGTTTAGTTGGTACAAGGTTGCCCAGACGCGTCCTTAATCGAGTATACAGCTCATCCCTCACCCTCTGCACATTCATCCACATACGAGAACAGTGAGGATGAGCCGCGCTTTATCGCAGTTAGATTTCCGTCATGACGGCCCGCTGCCCTCACTCATG